AGTTGTATTTATTAAGTTAGGTGATTGCCTGAAATTTTTATTGAGAAAAGAATTTAAAGGTTTGTCAGGCTTTAACACCTTTAATAATTTTTATGGTCCTTTGCCTGATTTGGTAACACTGAAAATTTGTATAAAGAAAAACAGCTATATAACAACAAATTCGCTGAATACTTAACCCATTGTAGTAATCACTTTGATCTGTGGATCCGCAGGGAGAGGTGGCATCCTGAATGGATAACTCTTTTTAACAGAATAATCTTGGAGCAGAAGCACTAAACCAACATGCAAACTTTTATACCATTCAGGACACAGGGTATTCCACATAATCACTGACACCGTGCCTGAACTATCAGCAACTTCCAAAAAGGTCTAGAAAAAAAGAATAAACACATACATATTTGTCACTTTTATCCATATAGATGATATATAGCATATTATCTGTGATAAATTAGATGGAGAGAATATAACATTTACATTTCTATTCTTTATGAGTAATGATTCAGTTGTCAATTCTACTAATATTGGTGATCTAAATAACAGACTGTTAGCAAATTCACAGAAGTACCAGATTCACTACTTACTCACTTGTGTGATGTCAACTCTTAGGACACAGGTCATATCTTATTTATATTCAGCTCTCCCATAATGTTTAGTACAGTGCCTTACAGAGTAATCCCACAGTACATTTGTCAAAATGAATAAGTTACATTTTGGGGGTTGTAAGTGAAGATCTTGACATCATTCTTTGTTACTTGGAACTGTTAGAGGGCCTTGATATTCATATTACAGAACTTTAGATAAACATAACTAAGTGAGTACAATGCTATCCATGCCCTCATGATATTAATTTACTTACAGCAATATTTGAGACTGGTATAAATGACACAGGAATTATTTTTGAGATACTACTTAAGAAATTACACTAGCAGAAAGAGAAAGGTCAATAGTAGTATACATTATTGCTGAGTCTGGGTAGAGTTTGAATACACAAATCTGTTGCAACACAAAGTATTTTATGCAGTTTTTCTCCATTTAAAAATTAGAGAACTTTGGTTCTACCTAAAAGGCAGTCTTCAAAATGTTCACTAGCTCTTTTAGTTTCTTCTTAAATGATGCTGTTACTTTCTCAGAACCTTTTTATTACTGATGAATATATATTTGGGGTAGTTTTCATTCCTTTACTCATTAAACATTTACTGAGGCCCTATTATGTTTCAAACATTCTGTTAGGCACTGAGATGAAGAGATGAATCAAATTATCCATAATAATAGTATACATATATATATGTGCGTGTGTATCTTACTATGCATCTGGAATATAGGTAAATGCTTTACCTATATTAATTAACTCAATCCTAGATCAATCTTGTAATAGAAATAAAATTAGGATCCCCATTTCACAGATAAGTAAACTGAGGTTTAAAAAGGATAAATAATTTCCCTTATATTATAAAGCTAAGAAGTAGTAGAGAGAGCTGAAATTTGAACTCAGTTCATCTTACTACAAGGCATATGCTCCTAAGCATGATTATATACTGCCTCCCTATAGTCAGATAGTTTACAGTACTACAAATCTATTAACAAATATGTGTAACTGGGTTATACATGGTCTGAAAAACCTATGTTAGGGAATATAATGGGATCCTGAGCAGGGCATAGTTGATTTTCTCTAGTGACTATGCATATGGTTATACATGAAAAAGCTTAAAGCAGAGGTAAGCATTGAACTGAATCTTAAAGGTGGCTTTGCTAATCTGATGACAATTGAGAGGAAGAGCACTGTAGGTAGAAGAAACAACATAAGCAGGGGCATGAAAGTTTGAAAACAATTGGTTGTTTTAGGAAATTCTAGGTAGGACTACTTGATTAGTATGAGTCCTGGCAAGTTCAGGAAAAGGTAGACATAAGGTGACCAGATTTTAACATTGGTAAAGTGGGACACCACTGATGGGGGTGGGGGGTTGGGGGTGGTTGGGGGTTCTTAATTAAAAATTTGGTCTATATGGAGCAACAAAAATTTTCATAGAATGCAAAAATAGTATTGTAATATATATATTTTTAATTTCAACATAAGTACAATTTACAAATATAATACATTAAAAAAAATTATGTATA